CTCACAGCTGCTCATCCCAGTATTGAAGCAAGTGCCAGCCCCGACGATCCCAGTTCTCCGAAAAAACATCTCCATCCATCGCTAGGAAGCCCCTGCCATCCCCTCAGAGCTCCAGGGAGAGACTGTATCGCCGATGCCGCCACTGCCCACTCCAACAGTCCGGCAGCCGCGGGGAGACACCGAAGCCGCTCTCCCTGCTCGTAAAGCCGCAGCGCAGCTGCCTCCGTCTCCTCCCGGCTATCGCGTCCTGGAGAGCTGCCAGCTCTCAAAAAGATAACACCCGATTGGTGGGAAGCTCCCCTCGCCAGACATGGGGCAAAATTAGCTGGTCCGGCCCCCGAAAACCCCCAAAAAGCCAGGGAATCTCCCCCAGGTATCACCGCCGCTCAGCTGGGAGCGGCCATCTTGGGCATGCGCAGAGGATTCTGACATTTTGACATTTTTATCAAGCCCAATTAAATATATCTAAGTAATTCATAATCCAATATCATTTCAACTTTCTTTTCTTATTTAGTTAAGTTCCAAATATATAATTAAAAATATTCCATTTGTTATAGTACCCTTCATTAATTAAAAATATTCCAATTCTTACATTCATCATACATCCATATATTTTATACTCACTTCCATAAAGATACAGTTCATTTCTTCATATTAACTTAAATGGTTTATTATTTACCATTCTATTACTTTATCAATTATTTATATTTTTGTCTCTTAAACTCCAGACATCATAGTTTCACTAATTAGTTAAAGAATCAATTTAATATCAATCTTACTCCAATGCCCCTAATTTTAAATTCAAATAACATAATAAAATTCCCAACTATTTTCTTAAATTCTCTTGTTCCAATCTCAAATAGTTTTTTCTTTATCAACTGTTTTTGAGGTTTGATGGCTAATAACACCACTTTTTTTGAGTAGTACCATAAAATTATATATCAATGGAAAGATAATTTAATCAAGAATGTAATGCTTTTCAATCTTTGTTTGAGAGATAAAAGTGCCTTTTTTCGTAGAATTCTGATTTTAGGCCAAATTCCTGCAGTCTGCGCCGAACAGCCCTTGCACTCAACTTCACATTGCATTGCACCATTTCATCTTGTATACACCCAGATGATTTTCTTCTGTCATGTAGGCACAGTCTTTTAATTTTTATATCACCACTTGCTGTTGTGCACCTTTTCCTGCCTTTCCTAGTGTGGTCTTGTAGTGACTGAGTCTCCTTATACCTCTCCAAAAACTTAGAAATGCCACCTTTGGTTAAGTTTCCACCAATTTTTCTTCTAATTTCTTTATAACTGTCGCCTTGTTCACTTAATAATACTATTTTACATCACTTTCTGAATGACCAGTCAACTCTTTGCACCATTACTTTAAGCTCACTAAATGAAACCCAACCAACTTTTTTTTTAATTGAAAAGTTTTATAGGAAATACAAACATTTTCTCCCCCCACCCTTCCCCCCTCAACCCCTCCCACCCCCCCGCCTCCCACCCCCCTTCCCCTCCTTCCCCACCACCCCCCTCCCTAGACTTCCCAGAACAAGCACAGGGTGTAACATTCACAAACATAAAGCTAAAATATGCTAACTGTCAGACTTCGATGCTATCTCAAAATAAATGAATTTCCAAACTGCCAATCTTTAAGGAAATTTTCTCTTTATTCGAGTACAGCAACCGGATCATGACTCGATGTGGACAAGACTGACCTTTTGCCCCCCAATCCCTGACTTTCCGATCCCGAATTCTCTGCTTCTCATTGACTATCTTCCAAGTCACTCTCCTGACTTCTTGTCTCGTCATTTCACAGGAATGTTCTCCCCTCCTCATTTCCACGGAGACCGAGCTTCAAAGGGATTTAGCAGGCAAAAGTTCAGGGCTTATCTCCCTTTTCTATGTCAGCACTGAGATGCTGACACTAACAAATTATTGCATTCATATTCTCCCTAAGTTTTTAACTCCTTATAACTCAAAAAACCTATAAACATAAACTACTTAAAAGTTATTTCATTCATAAGCTATATGTATCTTCTTGTTCGGATACTTTTTTTGTATATAGTCAATCCATCTTCTCCATTCAGATATATATCTTTCATTTGAATGGTCTTTAAAGTATGATGAAATTTTTCTGCCAAATGCACAACTTTTAGTGTCCAATCCTCAATAGTGGGTGGATCTTCCTTCTTCCAATACTGTGCCACCAGTAACCTGGCAGCTGTTATTAAATTCAAAACCAACTTAGTCTCTATTGCAGTTCAATCCGTAACTATCCCCAGCAGAAAAAACTGTGGTGTAAATTTAATTTTTTTCCTTAAAATATTTTGAATAATCCACCATATTTTTATCCAAAAAGCCTTAATTTTTTTACATGTCCACCATATATAAAAATATGTAGCATCTTCACACTCACATCGCCAACACTTAGGTTGTAGATTTGGATACATGCAGGCTAGTTTTTTTGGGTCTAAATGCCATCTATAAAACATTTTATAAAAGTTCTCTCTTAAATTTTGAGCTTGGGTGAATCTTACATTTCTAACCCATATCTTTTCCCATGTTTCCATCATTATTGGTTCACCTATGTTTTGTGCCCATTTTATCATACAATCCTTGACTAGCTCTGTTTCTGAATCTATTTCCACTAATACATTATACAACCTTTTAATATGCATTTGACCTTTATCTCTTATTTGCTTTATCAAATTTTCATCCTGCTTCAAAATACCAATTTTTTTATCTTCTCTCCATCTGGCCTGCAGCTGCCCATACTGAAACCAAGTCCTAATAATTCCTTCTTCTCTTAATTGCTCCAAAGATTTTAATTGTAATCTGACTCCTTCCTTATAAAGGAATTCCTTATATGTAATCTTATCTTGCTTTTGCTCCAAATTTATATTCTCTATCGCATGTCTGGGTACTGTCCATATTGGTAACTTATCATTTAATTTATATTTATACTTTTTCCAGACACGCAATAGAGCATTTCTTAATATATGACTTTTAAAAGTCTTATCTACTTTCTTGTCATACAATAGATAAGCATGCCAGCCGTAGACCAGACCATATCCTTCAATATTCAATATCTTTTCCTCCGTTAAATTTATCCATTCTGTAATTGCTGAGAGGGCAGCGGCTTTATAATACAATCTTAAATTAGGCATTTTAAGACCACCTCTTTCTCAGGTGTCTTGCATTATCTTTTGATTAACTCGCGGTTTCTTCCCTGCCCACACAAACTTCTTTATGCCCTTCTGCCATTCCTTCAAATTTTCATCTTTTTTAAGTATAGGTATCATTTGAAAAAGAAATAAAAATTTTGGTAAGATATTCATTTTTACAGCGGCTATCCTACCCAGCAAAGACAGTTGTAATTTTTTCCAATTTTCCATCTCTTTCTGTATTTTTTGCCATAAATCCAACCAACTTGATAGCAATTACATAACACACTGACAAATGTCCTCCTCTCAGCTTCAATACATGACATCAATAACTGAATCCTACTATGATCTGATTGACTCAGTGCCAAAACAAGATGACATCTGATTCGCTCTCTAAACACTCATGCTCATTGGCTACACTCAGATAAAGGAAAGCTACCTGATATCAACCTAAGTAAATTATGCTTCCTTTTTCTGGTTATTTGGCTATAACTTTTCATAGAATACAGATAATTGAACAAACTTTGTTGCATTACATTCTTGATTAAATTATCTTTCCATTGATATATAATTTTATGGTACTACATAAAAAGTGGTGTTATTAGCCATCAAACCTCAAAAAAAAACTTTTTTTAACATTTGTATTATATGTATTTTATTTGGCTGTTCACTGCCCTGAGTCCTTCGGAAGTAGGGCGGTATACAAATTCAAATAAATAAATAAATAAATAAATTTATTTATAAATAAATAAATAAAAATACACTTTTCTCAAAAGGTTTCCACAATTTTGGCTACTACTGTATATTTCTTACTCACAAAATGTATTATTGAGAATGGAACAGAATTAGTTAATACATTAGTGTATTGCTAGGTTCGTTTGTCCCAATTGTTTTTTTCTTTTTTGGCATGAAATTTAAATTTAAGGACTTAAGGTCTTACTAATGCAGAACCATCCCTTTTGTTCAAAATCAATGACTGCTGTTAATATCATCAGGGCTTTTCCATCATTGAATTAAAGGCTTAAATACCCAGGCATTCTCAGGCAAATCTATTATTTGCAAAGAATCTTTCTTGTGTTTACCCAAATATTAACTCTATCTTGCTTCCTGAACTGGATTATTCTGCAGATAACTACATGATCAAAATACCGTAGGATTTGGGGAGATGGACTCTGCTGAAGAAATGAATAGCTGAACGTGTTTAGGCATTTCCCCACCCCATCTCAACTTCTTTTCAAATTATAACAAGATCTTGATTTGAATTTGGATGTCACCTAGATTGCACCTCTTTCATCTTGAGTGTTTTTTGCAATCACACTTTTTGTTCGTTTGTTATGTTATATTTTCATAGAAGAGTTAGGCAACTGTATTAAAAAAAGAATCTAGTTTGTTGAGAACTCTGGGGAAACAGACAGGCATTTTATTCTGTCTAAATAGTCAATATTTAAAGTTTTGTTCATAAGAATGCTGCCAACTTGTAACTTATTGATGAGACTGTTTTATACTGATCTTAAAAATATTTTCAATTTAATGCATGCCTTTGTTATTCACTAGAGGATGGGAAATATTTAAGGTTTAACTGGAATAAAATAAGTGTCTCATTGATAATCTCATTAACTACCAATCATAAACATCATAGATGATAGACAGATAGACAGACAGACAATAAAATAGTTATATTCAAATAAAATCATAAGGTTAAAAAAAGCTGTGAAATTCCTTGGCTTGCATTATAAGGAAATTAAATTTGTTGGCATTTTATAAACAAAAAGTAATAAGCACACAATCTCAATATAGATAGACCCATATTATGATTATATTTGTATTTAAGAAATCTTACTTGTTAGCAACTAAACGCATCACTGTCCAATCTTTTGGAAACATTTCTGGCTGTATTAATATTCGAAAAACAGTAAATATCTGTAACAAGAAATTCTAAGAGAAACAAAAAGCCTAAATTATTTTTTACGATAAGAAAAATATACTTTTAGAAAATTTCTTTAGCAAATACATTAGAAAAAATTCAAATCAAGAGAAAATTATATTCTAAAGCGAAAAAAGACAATTTTTTTTCCAAAAAAATTTCAAATAATATCATAATAATTTAGCTGCTTATAGTTAGATGGACAATGGAGAGAAAGAAACAAACTTTGATTCGAAGTTTTATTTAAAAAATATTTAAATTCACGCTAACAGATAGATTGGTCTTAAGTCCTACTACCATTGTGGCTTTTTTCACAAATTGTAAGTATAAATGGTTTTTAAAGTCAATGAGGATAATTTCTATTGGATTTCCTTGCCTATTAGGATTCTCGTCAAATTACACCACTGTGAAATTCTGCATTATAGATTCAAATGAGAATAAGCTGTATCTGATATCATTTGAGTAATCATCACCTCCACTTAAGTGGTTTGCATTTTAAGTAGCATGTTCATTCAAATCCAGAATGTACGGTACTCTATTTTTTCCCTAAGTACAGTATTGAAAATTGTTTCAGAACTGAAGAAGCTTCTTGGATGAGAAGTGAAATGTCTTCAAGCAAAAACAAGGAAAGTCTAGTTGCCTTGTCAATTCATATGAATGCTTCAACATCTGAGACACGCTTCAGCATTAAGATAAGACATTCAAGGAAAAATTCCCTTTCTTTCTTTCTTTTTTTAAACAAGTTTTATTAAATTTTTCTTTCACATACATATTTTACGAACAGAGTACTGACCGGGTCACATCTTATACTTCTTATAACATAGTTATATATTGATTTTTATAATCTATTCCAATCTTCCTTTTTGTTTTTTCCAAGTACAATTTAAATATCTCAATTTCAGCCTTAATATTCTTTTTCCCTACTTCTTTTTCTTATCTTAATCTCTTCTTAATACATAATATATAAACAGTATCACCATCCACCCTTCAGTTCCTAATTCCTTAGCGTAACATCAATTAATTATCCTATTTCTCCATTTATAAAATATATTTCTTAGAATCCCTATCACACTTTTTGGCTATGAACAATGTACTTCATCATATTCAATTCTTACATTGAAACCCTTTAACTTAATTGACCTTCCACATCTAATCTTAATCTCTTCTTAATACATGATAAGCATGTATTAAGGGCCTGGTGGCTCAGCAGACTAAAAGCATTGTGATTAACACCAGCTGTCTGCAATTACTGTAAGTTCGATTCTCACCAGGCTCAAGGTTGACTCAGCCTTCCATCCTTTCTAAGGTAGGTAAAATGAGGACCCAGTTTGTGGGGGCAATAAGCTGACTTTGTATAAATATACAAAAGTAAGAAGGCTATTGCTTAACGCATTGTAAGCCCCCCTGAGTCTCTGGAGAAGGGAGGCATATAAATCAAATTTAAAAAAAAAAATCACTATCCGCCCTTAATTCCTGATTTCTTACTATAGCCTCAATTAATTATTTTATTTCATCATTTACAACATATTTGTTCAAAATCCCCTTCACACTTTTTAATGTTTCAGTTTTGTCTCTTGATTTCAGTTATTTTCATAATTGAACCAAATTGCCACTTCATATTTCATCTGCTGTTCTATTTTACAATAAACAATATACATCATCATATTCACTTCTTACATTCACAATTAATAATATTAATACAGTTCCCTTAGATCTACTAATATATACCTTATTTCCCTTCCTCCTTTCCACTATTCTTTCCCTTTTAACCATTTTCTCTTGGTTGCTCCAAAATTCCACTTCTTAATAATTTTCTTCTTTCATCCCATTCTCCTAACTTCTTCTTTTTTATTTTTATATTTATTGTATCTTTTCTCCTGAATCCTTTTTCTAACCTTTGAGTCTATTACTCACATAATTCTCCTCAAGCTTTTTCCTAATCTTTTTCCATTTCCTTCTCTTCCCTTTGATTGCTTCTTTTTTGGGGGATATTCCCCTCATCCACTCTTTTTTTGCCACTGTAAATCCCAGTGTAATCATCTAACTTTTTACATTCAATACCTTTTCCTTCAACAGTATTTTTTTGCTTCTCATTTATATTCTCTTTTTCCTGTTTTGTGTGTTCTAGCAAAATTTCTGACTTTTTGTTGCCCTTAATGATTCACGCATGTTTTTAAACATCTCAATTAATTCCTCACACATCCAAGACTCCCCTATTATCAATTTTAAAAATTGTTAATATTTTAACTTATATTTAATTAAGATTTTAAAGTCTATACAGTCTCTTTTTTATTTGCAGATAATATCCAGTTCAAATATTTGTCCAATCCTCTCCAATTTAAAGTTTTCCACCTTGAAATTCGAGACCAAGCAATTTTTAAAAAACCAAATACTCCTTAATAGTTCTCACAGTTTCTTTTAGTAGTCAAGGTCACTGCTATTATTTTCTTCAATTTTCAGGCCAGTCTTTCTTTCCACCAGCACATATCTCTCTCCAGTCCACAATGTTCTCAGAACAACAAAGTATCAAGCTTACAAAAGTATTTTAAATCCACATAGAAAATACTTTCCCTTGGATTTCTTTTCCGTTTAATATTTTTAGTTTCTCCGAATTCAGTTTTAAGTCCAGTTATAAAATTTCCTTTTTTGGCTTTTAATATTTTAACCTCCTCTTTGTTCTTCCTTCAAGTGTCAAAGCTGTCAAAGATATTTCAAATCCTCATAAAAAGTACTTTCCCTCGGGTTCCTTTTTTTTGTATTAATTTTAATTTCTCCAAGTCCAATTTTAAATCCAGTTATAAAGTTTTCTTTCTTGGGCTTTGGTATTCCCAAGTGCCAATGAACTGCTGATTTCCGCTCTGGGGCACCTTTGAAGTTGTTGTTTTTTTAACTCCTTTTTTATCTGTGAGCTTGCCAATCACTCACCTGGTACCAGCACTCCGTTCAAACACCGTTCTTGCACAAAAATATTATTCCAGTTGCCCCAGCTTCAGAGCGGTCATTTTTTAATGGACGCCACCCCCGCCGCTGGTTCGAAGAACAGCCTCCGACTTTCGAGGAACTTGCCTGTTCCTCTTGGTCATCTGAGGCACCTCTTCTTCTTCACTATCCCTACAGGATGGTTCCGGTCCGAAGACCCCCCAACAGCAGTTTGTCTGGCTGGATTTTTGTGGAACTCATTGGAGCCCACTATTTTTCCAGCTGGTCTTGCTGCGACGCTTCCGGTTTCTCCTCCTTTTTTTTTATAAGCTACATGATTACTACTTTTCCTACAGCATTTGTCCATTTTTTAAAAAATGTGGATTTTTAAAAATATTGGTAAAAAGAAACTGATGAATGTAAAAAATGATATTGGATTCTAAATCCCATGAAAGTTTGGTAATCAATCATCTAGCAATATTAATTCCACTTTGTAAAATAAAAGCAAGAATGCTTTACTTTAAATAGTTTTTGAAAAAAAGAAAATAAATTGTACCATAGTACTGAGTACTATTTACTCTTCAGATTGTATTTATTTGGTTTCCATTAAGCATTTCTTGTGACCATATATTACATTTATCTGAATTTATATTATGTTTGTCCTGAATTTAAGATTTCATTCTCACAAGATAGATATAAAGAAATTTCTATATAGACCAAAATGCCATATAAGGCCTAAAGTTCCCAAATCAAGTTGAAATCAGTCCTGAAGACTTTCTTTTCTCTAAATATATATAGGTCCCAATTTATGATTATATTTCTGCTGCTAGGCAAGGCTCTTGTTAAATGAGTTGTGCCCTATTTTACAATCATTTTTTGCCACAGTTGTTAAGCGAATCACTACAGTTGTTAAGTGATTCATGTGGTGGTTAAATGAATCTGGCTTCCCCCATTAACTTTGCTTGTTTGGACACCAGCTGGAAAGGTTGCAAATAGTAATGACATGATCCCAGACCCCAGGACATTGCAACAATCATAAATAGATACCAGTTTTCAAACACCCAATTTTTGATCACATGACCATAGAGATGCTGCAATTATCTGTTGTGACCAAGGCCCAAGTAGTGATTACCAAACACAATTCAGTCCTCATTTTATTAAAACAGCTGAGAATTAATTCATTCTCAGCTTAGTCCAAAACAAAATTCTTAATAACCAGTCCGCCGGCCTTATCACCAACCTTTGATGTCTTTGGCAACGGGCCAAAGGCTTTTCTTGGCAAAACTCCCACAAAGTTTAAGAGACACTGACAAGAAGCACGGGAATCAACGTTGCTTTTCTACAAAGAACCCAATGGCTCGTTGCTGCTCTTTTAAGCCTTATGGGAGTGGCCAATCATCTTCTGGCCTTACTCCTGAGTTGTCTTTTTTTCTTCAGCTGCTCTTGCCTTCTGGCAGCTCTTCACATGCATGCACTAGGAACAGGCTCCTCCTGTTCCTCTGTCTCTCCTCTGTCCGCCTCTGGATGCTCCAGAGTCCGCGCATCGCTCCCAGATGGCCCTGGCCCCATTTTTGCCTCTGATGCAGAGCCCTCGTCCAGGCCTTCCCCTGACTCCAGGACTGACCCATTGTCCTCTCCAGCCTCCTCACTGTCTGACTCCATTGCTATGTCCGCAGGCTGCTGGTGGACCACAACACTATCATACATGTGAAAAAGGGTCATAAGTCACTTTTTCAGTGCCATTGTAACTTCAAACAATCACTAAACAAATGGTTGTAAGTTGAGAACCACCAGCATGGATGTTACATTCGTATATTGATACACACACACACACACACACACACACATACACAAATACATATACAAACACATTCTTGTCAAAAGGTCCATGCCAAAAAAGAGCAAAAGCAGAACAAAAACAAAGGAAAAAAAGGTATACTGCCTGTAAAATAAGGCAATCCACTTGATGTCAGCGTCCCAGCACTGATATATAAATAAAGGGAGGAGAAGCCTGAACTTTTGCCTGCTAAATCCCTTTGAAGATTCTGTCTCCTCGGAGATGGGGAGGGGGGAGACATTCCTGTGATATGAC